ATTAGAAATTCACATTACACTGGATCACAGCTTATGCTGCATTTGTTCTTCTTCAAATCACCCACAGGACTGCTCTGTAGCCATGTGCAGGGTGTTTAAGTGCAACACATTTATGGGAAGACTGCAGAGTAGGACATATGAAATTTCTGCCAACCTCAGTTCAGGATGGATAGAGCAGGTAATTGATGGGAAGTCTGGGTTAAATGCTTTATTAATATATTTTGCAACTCTTTCTGATTATGCACTAGTAATGTGGTTAAACTTTAGACAGAATTTTCCTCTTATATCAAACGATGCCTAATTTAGGCTCAACACATTCCATTTTTAATTGCTTTTTCTTAGATTGGACTTCAGTCTGCCAAATTCCTTTTGATCAGCACAGCCAGTCTGGAGTATGACAAAAACCAGTACATCTACTTTTCAATGGGGTCTGATAACAATTCTCCTGTACGCAAGGTGAGTACATATTTAACTTGTTCCAGTTATTTAGTATCTTACATTTCATCCACATTCTGTCACCTCATCTCTCAGATTGAGGCAGAAGTAGAAGTGTATCCTCAGCCAGATTTCACGAAAGCGATTGTTGGAGGAGCCCTGGGAGGGCTGGCTTTTCTGGCTTTAATCACTGCTGGCCTGTATAAGGTGAAAGAGACTTTTTACGCTTTTTCAATTAATTACACAGCTTTAAAATGTTTTTGGTGACCGTGTCCAGTTAAAAATTTTTTTTTTAGAGATTACTATATCCAATACTGATTTTTTTTTTTCCTTCCATTCCCAGGGTGGATTTTTCAAGAGTAAATACAAACAGATGATAAGTGAAAATCCACAAGAGGTACCAGTTCCAGAGATGGATGCAGGAGCAACCCTAACAGAATAATAAAAATCACACTGGTAGTTGCATCTATATGAAAGCTATAGACCCTCCTAATATTTTTAGGAGTAAACATGGTGTGTAGAAATGTTGATGCTAGAACATTTGATTCATGAAAGAAAAACCAGCTGGCTGTGTCTAAAATCACAAATCAATTTTTTGACCATTCAAACTTTACACTTGGCCCAACGCAGTCAGACAAATACTATTCACCTGGCGACCGCCAATCCATCAGGTTACCAGATGGACAATCGTGACTTGTCACTCCAGAGCACACATCTCCATTGCTTTAGAATTCAGTGGTGGTGTGCCGTATACCATTGGATCTGATGCTTTGCATTGCACTTGGCAATGTAAGTCTAAACAGAAAAATGCAACTGCCAATCCACTGCTTAAATCCCAGACATGCACATGAAGGCAAAGCATTACAAGCAGACAAAAAGTCTGTATACTTAAATAAATCACACAAAACTAAATATAGTGAACTACTTGAGCAGATGTTCTTTGAAGCATTATGGTAGAAACTTTGTCTTTGTAAAGTGACTTTTTTATCATTTGAAGACTCTTAACTGCTTCTCTACAATGAGACCCTTTTTTGTGTTTAAATTTCTGCAAACATATTTTTTAAAGAATTTGTTGTATGGTGAAAAGAAGCTTCTTTCTTTACCATTATGTACTGCAACGTATGGAATTCAATATATACTTATTATACTTATATACTTATATACTTACAATATATACTTGCCTAAAATAACAAAGAAAAAAATTGTGAAATGTGACTTGCTTTATTAAGGAATAAATAACAGCACATGTAATTATTCAGCTTTGTGTTGCGAATCTGTATATTCACATTATAGTCTTATTGCTTTAAATTCCCTATAAAAATGCTGATATGAAGTTTT